GTAGCCCGCGCGCATATAGATACGCCATCACTCACGTGGAGCAAGTAGCCGCACATCCTTGATGACATCGATCCAGTAGCGACACAGACGCGCAGCAACTGCAGCGCCAGGGTCTCCTCCTGTGAAATCACAGCACCGCGCGACCCGCAGCGAGTGCGTGGGTTGGCCGTTGGCGAGCATTTCTGCGGCCCCGCAAAAAGCAAAAGGTGGCGAAGCAAGGCGATGCTGATACTCGTGTCGTTGCACGCGAGGGAACTTACCTGCCTGCCGCCTGCCTCCGTAGCTTGCAGGAAATCTCCGGAGCGTTGTAGGCCGCCGCTTGCTGGAAAAAAACCTGCCGCATTTTGATGATGATGGCGCTGCGCTCGGGCTACGGCACACGGGCGCACGCTTTTGGACAGGTTTTCCCCGCGCGGCACTAGGTATTTATAGGCGCGCCGACTTTCGGAAACTCCTTCCACATTCAAATGCGCGCGCAGTTTCTTCGTGTAAAAGTACACCAAGGACCGAACTCAAAAGACATCGCCGGCCTTCTCAGCCGGTCGGTGACCGATATACGCGAGCGCCGTTGGCCGACATCTGCGCGGCGCGCCCGACTTTCTTTGTGACATGAGTGGCAAGAGAGATCTTCTCTTGCTCGACATATGTACACCAGCACCATCATCACACACCGGCGACGATGGTGGCACAAGAAGGCGTCCAAATGGAACTGCCCACCTCGGTCGGCTCCGTTGCGTCAAACTCAAAACGGCGAGAAATCGCCGCACACCGCCACGCTCTTTGATCCGGGGCTGTGCTTCGCACGTAGTCGCTTCACTTCGCCCACTCTTTCGCTCAGAGTCGCCTCGCCTCACTTCTACGCTTTAGCCAGTGTCGGTTTGGGAAAGCTTGCCCGGCAAGTGAAGCCGACTAGTGACGCTGTCTCGCGCGCGTCCTCTGCTTCGTTCCGTCGCGTCAAAACAGCGAGGGACCAACTTGGCCGAGAGTTCGACTGCGAGCGCTGCGGAAAGACATCAGGCAGGCGAGTAGGGCAGTGCCCGACTCGCTTGCTACCCACTTAGACTCGCTGTCTCCCACTCCTTCGCACATAGTCGCGGCCTTTGTTCCTGGGCTGTTCTTCGCCCATAGTCAGTCCGTTTCGCTCTCTCACTCGATCGCACGTAGTCACTTCGCTCCACTTCTACGCTTTTCTTTGCCAGTGTCGGCGGAGTAGAAATGAAAAGGGGCCACCTCGGAAGCAGTCTACTAGTCAACAACTTGGGAGGAGATATACTTTCGCCCTGACATCCGCGTCCACAATTCCGCCGCCTCCGATCGTGCGCGTTCTGATGATGATGCGCCGAGCTGTGAGGTCTGGGCTGTAAGTGAGTCTATCAGCTTCCCTGTCCTGCTTTGGTTTTGGGAAATGAAAAAAAACCGGCCTGCGTGGTGGATGAAAGTCGTAGAATAAGAAAACGGATCTGGATGCATTTGAAGGCGGTGCTGATCTTCTGCGCCGAATTGGTCTGAAGTGGGTGCGTTGATCTTCTCACTATCTCAATCTGTGTCATATTGGAGCAAGTAGCGGACTTTCTGTAAAGGATGGGAGCGCTCCGCTCTGCACATTGCAGAAATCCGAGTAGTAAACTGCAATCCGCCAACGTGATCCCTCGTATTATCTTGCTCGACGGCATTGCTCAAACCGCGACAGCTCGGCCCTTTCGCTTCGTAAGAGCCGTAGTAAAGCTCGCAGGGTGCTGCTGCTGCTGAAGCAGGAGCCTGATACTTGACAAGCCCAGAAGAATACTGCCACGGAAGACAAATGGCCGATCGCCTGGCTTGGATAGCTTTCTCGCTTTTTTTCTCTCGTGCCTGGGCATGGCGTCAAATGTTCAAGGCCCATTGCTTTCATCTCCATCCATTTGGATAACTCTAGAGACCGGACCTCGCCCGTTATGCCGTGTGGCCTGCTTCTGATTCTTAACTTGATTTAATTATCGGGATCGTCAAAGCTGTGACGACGGTGCCACTTTTAAACTTCCCGATCTGCTCGCTTGGGAAGGACCTCAGAACCAACGCGATTGCGGTTGATTTCCTCCGCGGTGCTCTTCTGGCTGCTACTACCGTAGCGCTGCAGATCCTCAAAAATGACCTTCGAGAGCGCTCTTGATTGACTGCTGCCACTGTTGCGGCACTCCTGCTGTTTTGAAGAGGAGCGAGGTGCCATATTGGGGTGGTGTTGATGATCTGCCTGCGATTTCGTAGGAGGAGCAACGCTGGGCCGAGTGTGCCGCCGGAGGATCGCAGGGGCCCTAGCTTTATCGAGTGCGTTCGCCATAGAGAATCGGGCGGCTTTTCGCAGCGACAGCTCAGAGCACCTCCATCGCCTTCAACGGTGCTACAGCTCTGAAGAAGAAAAAGGGCGCGCGCGCCTGAATTCTTCCAATGGCGGCCGACATGGCCCCAGCGACTTGCTCCTCCAGAACTGTAACTGGCGAGCGAAAAAATAACAAAAAACACACGAAAAAGCTCCGCACTTTCGCGGGCGTCCGGACCGAGGACCGGAGGCCAACAGACTCCCGCTCATGTGTGTCCCCCTTCTCCTTTCTTCTCTCTTTATATATTGCCTCGCGAGGGACTGGGGGCCGAGGATGGGAGACCAACAAACCCCCTCCTATGTGTCTGGGCTTTCTGCCTTCTTATCTCGTCAGCCATTACCTTGCGAGGGACTGAGGACCGAGGACCGGAGACCAAGAAACCCCCTTTCATGTGTCTCAGCTTTCTACCTTCTTATCTCGTCAGATATTA